CCCACTCCTGGGCATATATCCAGAAGGAACCCTACTTCAAAAAGACACCTGCACCCCAATGTTCCTAGCAGCACTATTTACAATAGCCAAGACATGGAAACAGCCTAAATGTCCATTGAGAGCTGACCAGATAAAGAAGATGTGGTATATTTATACAGTGGAATACTATTCAGCCATAAAATGACAACATAACACCATTTACAGCAACATGGATGTCCCTGGAGAATGTCATTCTAAGTGAAGTAAGCCAGAAAGAGAAAGAAAAATACCATATGAGATCGCTCATATGTGGAATCTTACAAAAGAAAAAGAACATACATACAAAACAGAAACAGACTCATTGACATAGAATACAAACTTGTGGTTGTCACAAAGGGAGAGGAGGGCAGGAAGGGACAGACTGGGAGTTTGAAATTTGTAGATACTGACAGGCATATGTAGAATAGATAAACAAGATTATACTGTATAGCACAGGGAAATATATACAAGATCTTGTAGTAGCTCACAGCGAAAAAGAATGCGACAGTGAATATATGTATGTTCATGTATAACTGAAAAATTGTGCTCTACATTGGAAATTGACACAACATTGTTAATTGACTATAACTCAATAAAAAAAATAATTTCACAAAGAAAAAAAAGAAGAATCACAAAGAAGAGCATGTATCTTACAAAGGACCTATATACAGAATATATAAAAACTCGTAGCTCACTAATAAAAAGGAACAACCCAGTGGGGGAAAAAACAGGCAAAAAATTTGAACATTTTATAAAGAAAAATAAACAAATGCCAAAAAATACATGAAAAAGTGTTCAATATCAATAGTCATAAGGGAAATGGGAATTAAAACTATACTGAGGTAATACTACACACAGAATGACTAAGATTAAAATGATAACACTAAAAACATTGGTGAGAATGTGGATTAACTAGTACTCTTATACTTCACTGGTGAGCATGTAAAACACTACAACCACATTGGAAAACAAACCCCTATGATACACAAAAATATGGCTGAATCTCAAAAGCACTATGCTGAATTGAAAAAACCTTTACACAAAAAGTATATATACTGTATGAATTTATATGTAGTCCTAGATCAGGCAAAACTAACCTATGTTAAATAATCAGAACAGTTGCCTTCTGGAAGGAAGTGGGAGTGGAGCTGGAACTGACTGGGAATGGACATGGGGAAACTCTCAAGGATGATGAAGATACTGTGCATCTTAACAGGGATGTAGGCATTTGTCAAATCTTACAAAATTATACAGTTAAGATTTATGAATTTAACCATAGGTAAATTTTATCTCAAAACAAACAGACACAAAATTCTGTTAATGGCTATATGGTGAAGTGTTTAGAAAGTAAAGGTTACTGATGCCTGCAACTTCTTTTGAAGTGCACTTAAAAAGCTGACTGATGGGTGTATAGGGAGGTAAACATTTAATAAAGCAATAGAGTGACTTTACTCTTAAGTTTGAAAATTTTATTAAAAAGTTCTGGGAGCAGAGGAGACTGAAGAAGACCTTTATGTATTCATATGAAGGGATCTCCAAGATGTCATGTTATGTTTCATATATTTCACAATCTATAAAGAGAATACAATAAATGCCCTTCTAAACTATTCCAATTACTTTAAAACTGTAGGACTCAGGTGTCTTCCACTGTAATAGCACCTGAATAACTTACATGGCTCTAGAAAGACAAACTGACACTGACTTAAAAAAAAAATCCTGAACAATTACTTTTCCTTCTTAAGACACGTTACTTTCAAATATTTTATTAGCATTATGTATAAAATGTATTTAAAATAGCAATTCTCAGCTAGAAATTACAAAAAAAGACTTTTCCAATTAACCTTTACTGCTACTCAGTACTACTCTGAAGATATGATAACTAGCTCAGATTAGTATTTCATTAAATTTTGATTTTTAGATTTTCTATAATAGTACTTAGCACAAGTCCATCTTATTTGAGAGATGATATGAGAGCTCATCAATGAGAGATCCATTTTAAAAATGGCAATATAAAAATTTACATTAAAATTATTTCTCCTTTTTTTAAATCATTATGGTGAATTGAGTCATATTCCATGCTTTTGTAGGTTATAAAATAACTGGTGAATAATGAGGAGGGAAAACAAGTAGAGATTCAAAAAGATTAAGAACAAAACATTTTTTTCTACTTAAAAAATAAGGTCATCATTTTTTGGTCATAATAGGAGACAATATAAAATTTAAAAGTGAAACAGTTCTTAATAATTAAAGGCAGCAAAAATCATAAAAGTTAAAAAAGCAAAAACCAAACCTGATAGGATTAGGGAAACAGGGCACTTTTGCATATTCAATAACACACAGTATTCTCCAAAAACAGTAAGAATATTAAATACATAATTTTTAAAAACCTTACCCTTTCTGCTTCAAAGGTAATTCAAGTTTAAATATGGTAGCATCGTTAACAACTGCTTTATACGCCTGCAAAAAACGGTTTAAAGTAAAACATAAACATTATTTTTAACACTTAAAATACAGCTAGATAAATTGTTCCAATTCCAAAAATACATAAAATACAAATCAATTTTTAATTTTAATGGTGTATCTGGCCTGATAGAATTCTTCCAGGCAATGACATCAGCATGTTCTTTGCCATATGATTATCACAATTCTCAAGTGAGGTCTTAATGCTGCCTGACAACCATACTGTTTTTCTCTTGTCCACACATTTTCCTGGAAAACATTTTCATACCACCTCCTTTCTCTTCAAACCTCCAGTATTTCCTGTCCCATGCAAGTTCTCAGCTGGTGGTTGGGCTTCCTATTTTATCAAGAAAACTGAAGTCATCAGAATTTCCTAGTTCTCCTGTGTCATTTTCTTCCTCTCTGTTTTCTGCAGCCTCAGGATGCATACATATTACTTTTTAAATCTTAAAAATTCTCTCTTGACTTTGTCCACCTTTAGGTACTCACCCATCTCTCTCTCTCGCTCTTTAAACTAAATTCCTAGAAGAATTATCTAACTCAAGAATTATCTATCTCAAGCGTTGCTGATAGATTGTAAAATGGTAGAACCACTTCGGAAAACAGTTTTACAGGATTTTATAAAGTTAATTTACACTTCTCATGATTCAGCAATTTCACTGTTAATTACCCAAAAGAAATAAACACGTAACCACACACACACACAAAGAATTATCTAACTCATTGTCTCTAATTCCTCTACTCCCATTCTTACTGTGAGCCATTCTATCACCAGGCTTTCTCACTACTACTCCAACCAATCGTTCTCGTCCAAGTCACTCACAACCTTCATGTTGCTGAAGACAGTGGCTAATCCCCATCTTATCTGACCCATCTGATCTATCAACAGCATTCTACAACAGAAGAGCATGCCCTCCTCCCGGGAAGTGCTTTTTCCACTTGTTTTTTAGCACAGCACTCTCCTGGTCATTCCAATCATTCTCCTCTCTCCTCATGAAAGATGGTTGGGTTCCTCATCTTTCTGATAACTAAATTTAGGTTGCCCCAGGCCAGTCCTTGGATCTCTTCTCTTTGCTTTCTTCACTCTTAACTTTGGCGATCACAGCCAGTGTCAGTGCTTTAAACACCATCTATCTGCTGATGCTCCCAAATTTATTTTTGCAGCCCTGTCCTCTCCCTTTAAGCCCCAGACGTGGTGTTATCACATGGATGTTTATTAAAAATTCAAAGTTAACCTGTCCAGAACTGAGTTCCCAATCTCTCTTCAACCATCTCCCCAAAATCTGCTTCTCCCACAGTCTTCATCTGCCCTCATCTCAGCAAGCATATACTTCTAACTGATCAGAACAAAACTGGAGTGCCATCCTTGATGATCTCCTTCTATCACATTCCACGTCTGGTTCTATTATCATGTCCTGTATAGTTTCTTTTCACTATATAAACAGAACTCAACCACTTTTGACTACCTCTACCTACTACTGTTCTGGGCAGAGCTCCCATTATTGTTTAATCGAATTACTTAAATAGGTTCTTAACCCATATTCTTGCTTCCTCTGTTGCCTCCTTCGGTCTAGTCTTTCTGTAGCAGCCAGGTAATCCTGATAAAATATACGTCAGATCCTGTCATTCTGTTCGAGATCTTTCTATGACTTTCTAACCTATTCAGAGTAAAAACCAAACTCCTTACAATGGCTCACAGTCTTACATGACCTGGCCTTCTATTATCTCTGGCTTAATTTCCTACTATTTGCCCCCTCACTCAACCCACCCTGGCCACAATGATCTCTTTCCTCTCTGGTCCTAGAACATGACGGGTGTATCTCTGCTTTAGAGCCTTCGCACTTGTGTATCCCCTGGCTAGAGTACTCTTCTCTTAGCCACACGGCTTACTCCTTAATCAACTTCAATCTAGCTTTGAATAAACCCTCTGCAGCCCAATTGAACACTTCAAACCACCTCATTTCCTCCACACTCCCTTAACCCCTCTCCTACTTTATCTACCCACGTACTATCTACCTACCTTTCTTTCTAACCATTCATTTATTTATCTATCTAAAAATAATGAGGAAAAAAGCCTACTAGAGAAAGCTGATTTTTTTTTTAAGAGTCTAGAAAAAAAATCTAACTTAGGAAGTAAGGAAAGGTAGCTGAAGGAGGGGGGAACTAATAATAATTTCTAGTGACAGGTTTATGTCATTTAAAAAGACACAATTCTAAGGATAATACTGTTTCATTATCTTTATCCTATAACGATGGGCAAGAGGGTATGGAAAACAAGGATAAATGTGATGCAACTGTCACAAGAGCCCTATGAAAGGAAAGGAGACAGGGAAATCAATTCTGCTTGGGACAGGATGTGGGGAGAGGCAGAGTATCAAGGATGGTCCATGAGAAGTATGCTATGACCTGAGTCTTGAAGAAGGATGAAGAGGAATTCAATAATCAGTAATATTCAAAAACAGGAAAACATTCTTGAAAAATGAGGAAGAGGACAACCTTCTAGCTCAATTTTGGTTCACATGCATACCCAATGCTGAGAAAAGCACTAACAAACCAAATATAATAAACACAGTTGCCCTCCACTGATGAAAAATCAGTGTTACTAGCTTTTTTAGCTTGTAACTTAATAGAATAATGATGTAAGTTTCTTACTAAAATTAAATTAGGACAGAAATGTTAATATACAGGAATATATACCTTGTCTCTTGCAGTAAGAAATCGTGGATCATCTTGAAAAGCTTCTTTGACGAGTTTACTAAATCTATTAAATAGTGTAAGTAATTGCTCAACATATTTCTCAGAGTCCTAAAAATAAAGTGTTTTATATTCAATTGAGTCTTTAAAAAGAAAATAATAATACAAAAAAAGAGAGAAAATACAAACATAATTTTAATAAACCACTACAGCTTTAAAAGTAGGAAAATTTTCTGAAAAAAGGTTTTCTTAAAAAAGGTGTTCCAACGTTACTACTGTTTTGCTATCAATTATTATTTTAAACACCTGATTCTGCGTTGAGAAGATAACCTTTATATAGGCTGTCACCGAGAAGACTTACAGTAGTAATGGTTTCAGCAGCTGCTACCATGTCTGCCAGGCCCGCGCTAATGATGTGTTCCTCCAGGTCCTTCAGCATTGGCTCTATCCCGTTAGGAACTTTGTCCATCAGTGAGAACATCAAATGTAGTTCTGAAAGGACAGAACATACTCATGTAACCCTTTCATCCACCGGAAGAGATTTTCTCTTTGCCTTGTATCGTGGATCTATGACGCCTGTCACAATGAGTGCGGGGAAGTACTAGCTGGAAGCTGACAGCTTTAGTAGTATTCTGTGGGTACAATTAGTTCAGGGGTTGTTACAGTAAGAACTGCAGGCTCTACAGTAAGAACTTCCTAATCTACCTTCTCAGTCTGAGAAAAACTACTTTTATTTATTTTTGGGGGGGGATTAGGCTTGTTTGTTTGTTTATAAATAACGGAGGTACTGGAAATTGAGCCCAGGACCTTGCACATGTTAAGCATACACTCTACCACTGAGTTACAGCCTCCTCCTTCAAAAATTATTTTTGTAAAAAAAAAAAAAAAAATTATTTTTGTAAGAAATCCTAATTGAAGTGATCACACACACTGCAAAACCCAACTCCTCTTAAAAGATGAGTCATCTGATTTTCAAATGCAATGGAATGTATTTATTCTAAGAAATAAAAAAGTTTACATAAAAGATTAGTACATTTCATAAAACAGATGCAATATTAAATACACAAAACACAGCCATGTGGTTAAGGGGTAAAATAATCATGTCCTCAGGTAAGATAGCATAAAACTCTATTCATAAAAACTTTTTCAATTTACAAAAAAGCACTTTCTCCTGTTTTACCATTTAATTGACCTTCAGAAAAGTCTTACTTCTGAACTGGGTACCACTAAATAAGTCCTTTCGAAGGGAGTCCAACATGGATCTGACGTAACACTACTGAGCTTGACATACAGAAATTCAAATAATTCATTTATGCCAAGTGAGAAACTTGCTTTTTACTACAAAACTACTTCTGAAGAGTGTATGGACTTAAGTGAACTGAAATATATACTTTTTTTTTCTTTTTAATAAATATTTATTATCTACCTCATGCTAGTCACTGTTCAAGGTATTTGGAACACATCAGAAAATAAAGCAATCAAAGAAAAATGTTAACCAAATCAAAGGATTTCACTCTTTATGTTTGATAATGCTATTATTTCTATACAAGGTGCTATTAACTACTATAGAAGAAACCCTAATCATAATTTTTATTTGAGTGAATGATCAGATAAACCAGTGTACAATAATGTAATTATGTAAATTTAGGAAATATGCAATTTAGTCTTGGAAAATTTAAAGAAGCTGGCTTGGCCTGCGTGAACTCCTCTTCTACTTCTCCATTAGAAGGTTCTATCAACTGGTTTCTCAGATCTGGGACGTAAGTACTTTCTTCCACAGAAAATTAAATTCCCATTTAGAAATGACTTACTGGCAAGACTCATCTTTATCACTCATTTACTAGATATTCTTGAGAATAATGTTTTCAAGATACTGAAATACATACTTTAAATGCAACTAGAGACCTCGCAATTTTACATAATGAAATCTAGAGAGTAATACATCAAAATGTTAAAAGTGGTCATCTCGGAGTGGTAAGCATACGGGTAATTTTTACAGTATTCTTTTCTGTTTTAATGTACTTAAATATACCTTTATCATATTTAAGTAATAAAAAAATTTAAGTAAAAAAATACACTTCAGGTATCTTAAATTATAACGTATTTTGGGAGAGAGGGATGAAGATTACAAACATAGAGCATTTTATTACTTTTTAAAAATATTTGTCACAAGGTCCCACACACAAGTCAAATTACCTAGTTTTATCCTATACCATATGTTTATCATTTAAATTAGCCTTTAAAAGCAGAGTCCTACTTTTTCCCCCCTACTTTTGAGAAGAAATTGAAATTCACATGCAAGAGTACTCACACACATACTGATACGGGGGGGGGAGGAGGGGAATGCTTAAAATATACATTTATAATCTTCTTTACAGTGTTTCTAACTATGCTAAATATTTTATCATTTTCTTTAAGTATAATTTGCCATAACAAAAATACATACGTATAAAAGAATGACCTAACAGCAATTTATTAAAAGTGATGTGCTTCAAAGACACCCTCTTAATATGAGTATGAGAACGTTATGTGATGTTTTACCTACTTTCAGTTTCGTTTCGCTTGATCATGCCTTGGCACTCTGCTAAGATAGTCTCTTTAAAGGATGTCACCAGGGCATTTACACAGCATTCCATGAGCTGAAACACATCAAAAACTGGTCAAGGCCCTTGTAAGCACAAGAAAGGCACAAATCTATTCCTCTCCATTTTGCCTTATAGCTCCATAAAACCACATTCTTGAACAATAGCAAAACAGCTAAGCCCACTGAAAGTAGACTTTACTTACCTTTACGAGAGGATTACTGAAGACGGGTACTCTATGTAAGTTTACCAAAGCATACTTCCCTCTAAGGAAAAGGCTACAGAATGTAGGTTCTCGTTAGAAATTTTAAAGAAAGTCCCCAAGGAGGGGAGGAAAAAAATTTTAACATACCAAACAAAATGAAAAAACAAAAACAAAAACAACCTTTAGTAAACTCTCATCTGGAGAGAACCTGTGCTGGAATTAGATCCTAAAATTCTGAAAGTATGAACATTCATTCAACATACAGTAGGCATCGCGGCTGTTGGCACCAAAGAAGTGGTCAGGATACAGAGGGAATAAGAAATGACCTCTGCTTTGGAGAAGACCACTGTCTCATTGAGGGCAGGGAGGGAGGCAAGTGTCAACTAATAAACACAACTCAGGTAAGTGGCAAAGCGCGCGTGTTCGCGCACACACACACACGCCCCCAAACAGAAACAAAGGAACTACTATTTGTTCGTGGGTAGTTAAAAAGGTCTCATGCACAAGATGAAATGTAAATTCAATGCTTAAAAATAAGTACAAGTCTTAAAACGGACTGAGTATTCTAGGAACAAGAAGTTGAATATAGCAGTGAAGAGACAGTGGGAGGGAAAGCCAGAAAGGTAAGCTGGAGCCAGATTGTGAATGAAAATCTATGGTTTGGGATTTTATTCTATAGGTAGGGAAGGTTTTAAACAGAGGATAAATGTAATGAGCTTCGACTCCCCTACAAAGTCATTTCTAAACGCTCAGTCTAATGGTAGGTGGTACTCAGTGGTGGCAGAGAGACTGGCAGACAAGGCTGTTGAAATACTCCAAGTAAGATGGTTAGGGTCCAGTGTTCTGGCTGGCCCTCAAGAAAATCCACCCCACCTCATCACTGCTCCTTCATGTCATATATTTACTTGTCTCACAGGTATCAAATAAAATAAATAGGATGCAAAGTACACAAGGCTGACATCTCTCTTCTGAAAAACAGATCATCTATCTATATTCAGGAAGGGAACTATGTGTGTCTTAAAAAGTTCTTTGCCAAAAATTCCTCTTGGAAGTGACATAATGTTGATAATTACTGGAGTTGAATTTAGGTAATGGAGAGTCATTATACTACTCTTTCTACTTTAAAAAATGTTAAAAAATTTCCGTAATAAAAGATTTTTTTCAGGTCCCTCTTTGAGAATTATGCTAATGACTTTAAAATCCATGTATGTCAATTTCTGTCCTAAAAAAACACACAGATACAAAGTGGTTGAGAAATTTCTGCCCTGCCAAGGTGGGGCGCTCTGCCCCAATCACTGAGTAACCTCATTCCGTACCAGCTCTGGAATATGCACAACTGAACACTACCAGCCTCAACAGAGACTAGATAAATCTAATTACATGTAACTAATAAAGAAGAAACAGAAAGTGCCATCAAAATAAGCCCCAAGCCCCAGTCACTTCAGCTCTGCTTTCTATTTTAGTTTAGATCAGGAGTAGTTCAACCTGTGTTCAGGAGAAGTCCAAGTTTTGCAGACTCCAAAAATCCAGACCAGTGTGTTTCAAACTGTCTGTTGTGAAATCAGTTTTAATGGCTGTGACCAGGGTTTCTTTCTTTAATAATACAGAACAGTACAAACAACATCAGAACGCATCACAGATAACAGCAACAAGTATTATTCCATAAAAATTTTGTTTCAGATGTGAGCAAATAAACAAAGAATATACTAAGCCACAATAAAAAATGTATTTCTTACTGTGGGTTACAATGAGGATTAAGAGGAGAGGCTAAATCGACAAGATAACTGAAGTAAACTGCAAAGACTGGTAACTGCTTACGTGAAAGGAGTTAGGGATCTAAGTCGTTGAAGCAGTTTCTAGCTTGAAAGGTTAAACAAATCATTATAATAACAAATATTTTTAATGAGCACTTACTCTGACCAAGCATTATGCTAAATGCCTTTTAAACATTATCTCATTTAACCCATATGTCATTTAATCCACGACAATCTTATGCAGCAGATATCTACCATATGAGGAAACAAGCTTAGAGAGGCTAAGTAAATAACCTACAGATGTTGCACAGTTAGTTCATTAGGGTTTGAGCTGTAATATGAGGCCAGGTATGCAAGTCCACAGCCTACAACTTTTGATACTACATTAAGAGAGCAAGTATATACTTAGCAATGGCTACATGCTCAGAGTTAACTGTCATAAGGAACAGAGACGTACAAAACATGGTTTATGTCCTCAATGCTCTTAACAACTGGAGTACAGCATATCTAAAAAAATGTGTGCATTCTTCATACATAACAGAGGTGCACAAAAAGTTCAATTTCACCAATAAGGCAAAGAAGTAAAAGCAAACGCGTCATTAACACACCATAAACCTCACAAGGACAGAGACTGTGTTCTGTCCATAGCCACAGATCCACAGCTTCAACACAGCCGGTGCTTGATAAACAACACAACAAAGCAGCCTGTAATCTGCTACTAAATCAAGCTGTAGAAACAACAGGTGCAGTAAAACATTGCTTTAAAAAATGAATTAAAAAACAAACAGACTGAGCTATATGAATAAGGAAATATTCCTTATTGGGTAGAATGACTCTTACTGAACAATATTAAGTTAGAAAAATAAGTTAGGGCCAAATCATGAAGGGCCTTGAAAACCACAGGCAGGAAATCATGATACTATGGCTTTTGAATAAAGAAGTAAAATAGTGAAAGTGATGTTTATGGAAGAGTACCCCGAACTCACAAAAGAAGAAACCCAAATGGTCCACAGTAAGATAAAGATGCCCAGCCTCATCAGTGATTTTTAAGTGCACATAAAAAATCTTTTAAAATCTGTGATACTGAGCTTGGCAAAATTAATAGTCTGACAAAACCCCGATGAACAAAGATAAACAGGCATAGTGTAAATGGGAATGAGAATTACAACAACATTTCTGAAAATCTGTTTGGTGTTTACAGCGATCTGTGAAAGGTGCAGAGCCTTTGCTTCAGCAACCTCCTTTCCAGGAAATTCCATTCCAAGGGGCTGCCACATGTGACAAAGATATATGTATAAAGATGTTAAAAAGATAAAAAGATAAAAGCATGTAAGAGTGTTCCAGGAAGTACTATTTGTAAAAAATAAACTAATGATAACAAATAATACTGAAAATTCCCATCATTAGAGAATTAGGTATATTACAATACACATATACAATGAAATATATACAGTCATTAAAAACAATGTTATAATTCAGAAGTGTTTAGAGTAAAAGTGCGCATTATCATTTATTTCAGTGATGGAGAAAAGAAAGAAAGAAAAAAAGAAAGGAAAAGAAAGAAAAAAGAAAAGGAGGAAAGGACATGAAAGGAAAGGAAAGGAGGAAAGGGACAAAAGAGGGAAAAAAAGAAAAAAGGATCAACCAAGCACGTATGACAAAATGATCACTGTTAAATCTGGGGGCTGGGTTTGGGGAGTGGGGTTCATTATACTATTTTCTCTGTTTTTGTAAATATTTGAAAACTTTCATCACAAATATTTTATTAAAAAATAAAGAGAAGAATTATGGCATAGGTCCCTGCGTATTGAAAAATCCTTTAGAAAACTATTTCATGTAGGCAAAAAGAAGAAAGGGAGATTGCATGTAAGAGTTCCCTCCTTATTTCCAGAGTCTTGTCTTAACCAAAGGGTCAGTTTCTTGAGGGCAGAGACCATGTTATTCCTCTTTTGTACTTTTTCCCCCATCGTTTACCAAAGTTCTGCATCCAGGGTCAACCCTAAATATGTACTTATTTGAAAAACACATCTTGTATGGAACGGATAGTGATAAACCATCTCTCTCACCTTGTGTTCCCTGTCTCCTTTTGCTAGCTTCCGTGAAGAAAAAACTTTTTGCCATATGTCATCAACGCCTGTATTTGGCCTGAGATGAGCACCACTTCTAAATCCATAGCAATCTCCCCAGAGGTCTGCAAGGTGCAACACTTTAACTATCAACGTGCCTGACGTTTTACCTTCCTCTAGATAGCAAACCTCTTCAAAGATGATGCCTGCCACAAAACACAGCAGGCACTCAGTACCTGTTGAATGAACGAACGTGCAGGTCTGTGAAGACGGAAGGTGGGACAGGCAGGCTAAGTGATGTAGGAGAGTCCTCTTTGAGCAGTATGCAGTTTGCACAATTAGTGCTACTTCACTGAAGTTTAATAAAAAGCAGTAAGAACAGTTCTGATTTTCATTAGTTATGCAATCCTGTACAAGCAACATTTTGCTTTTGTCTCAGCTATAAAACAGAGGAGCTGGATTAAAAATTATCCTAGGTGCCTCCACCTGAAGATTCTACTTTATTATTATCAGGTCTTTAACCACACAAGGATACCTGTAATGTATTCAAGAATTCATTTACTGCACGTGTGGTAGGCTAGTCTCAAAATTAACTTCTCTTGGCCTTTCTAACTTGGTTACATTTTTTTTAAACCTTTATAACTAGTGTTACCTGCTTCATTTCTAAACTAGCTATACAAGTTACTCTCCATATAGATCAATGGAATCAATTAGACTCACCTTGACTTTTCAAACAGCACCCTTAATAAACCAAAATGAGGGTCAACAAGTACTTTACTTACTTTAACGTTAATAATTTATGACTTGTAACCTTGTTGTTAATTGAGTTTTTCATCAATGTTTTGCACAGGCAGTAGAATAGTTTCTGTCTGAGACTCAGTAAGCAACTTTCTGCAGACCACAGCCCTAACAGTAAAAACTACCATGTCAGTCACAGTGCTTAAATGTTTTGATAAAGTAGTTGATTAAACACAAGTGGGTATTACCCATTTTACAGTTAGGAAAACAAGGATTACAGAAGTTGAAGAACTTCCCAAAGGGTAAAATGACAACGGAATTCAAACCCTCCTCTTGTTCCAACGTGTATGCCCTGAATCACTACACTGCCTCCCCGTCAGTGCCCTGGTCATCGTGAAGAAATGAAGACTTGCCACCACTGCTTCACTCTCTAGTCCGTTAATCCACTGTAGAAACACTCCAGTTTATTCTAGTGTCACTCTGAGGATAGGGACCACTTGTGTCCTCTTATCCCCACTAGCACAAGGCCTGACACAGTTCAGGTGCATGGTAAGTAGTAACTGAATGCTCTCAGGTAGTACCAAGGGATGTGGCTATCACCTAAAATGCTAAAAGCCACAGGAAAAAAATTGTAAGTTATTTTGTTTTATATTTTTTTCTCATTCTTTTCTTCCTGTTACGTGTCACTTTTTGCCGTCTATGATGCCTCTTCAGCCAGCACAGCTCTGAAGCCTCTGACCCAGTTTTACTAACATACTGCTGCTCATCTCTACAGCCCCGTCCAGTGATAATCAAGCTAATTAGAGAGCTGGGAGGATGCCTGGGTCTGGGCGGGACTAAGCTGCTCTCCTGCAAGCAACGGTAGAGCAGCGGGCCTACCAGGCAGCTAAGGCAGCGCTGCTGCTCAGATCTCTCGGCCTGACTTACTTTCCAGGCTCCCCACTGAGTTGCAAGTAGCTCAAGCTGCTAGAAGGCTTGTCCTCTGGAGGAGTCCAGTATTCCTGCATCATACCTACTACAAACACGTATACACTGACAGCTCACTCACGCCTGCACATGTGCACAAAGAAATGCACTTACACACAAAGCATCTGATCCAAGTTTGGACCCTCAAACAGAGCTGGGCCGATTAGCGCTAGGCTAATTAAAACGAGTAGGGCCAGACTCTTCCCTCTGGTCCAAACTGGAGGGACAAACTGGGAGCTCTCATGATCCCCACTTCAATCCAACACAGCTGCATCAGTGACTCAAATACCATGAGCAGTATCACTTCAGATGATATAATTTTTGACAGTAAAAAAAATTTAAATTTCTTTTTTTTTAATTTATTTTTAATTTTTTTTGGTGGTGGTGGGGTAATTAGGTTTATTTATTTATTTATTTTTAGAGGAGATACTGGGGATTGAACCCAGGACCTTGTGTATGTGAAGCTCTACCACTTGAGCTATATCCTCCACCAAAATTTAAGATTCTAAATAAAAAATATATTACCGTTCCTCAATTTACACAGTAGTATCATCCGTGGAAAATAAAGTGTATTATTAATATCATGCAAAAATGTTTTGATTCGTAAGTAAAATAAAATTCTAGATGCAAATAAGTATAAATAAGATTTTCACTTACATGATTGGCCAGTGGGATTACTGAACATCATTTTTGGGATATGGTCTAATTCTTGCTTATGTGGGACAGTCTGAGCACTGTGAGACATGTAGCATTCCTGGATCCCACTCACTAAAAATCAATCATTGTGACAACCAAAAAAAAAAAAGAAAAGAAAAAGAAAAAGAAAAAGAAAAAGAAAAAGAAAAGCCTCTACAAATTTCTGTAACACGTGCTGGAAGCAGACACTACCGTCACTGAAAACTGCTAGCCTAGAGATTTCCGTTCAATGCACGTCAGCTATCCTAACAACCCGATAACCCACAGCGTAACTCACTTCTCTTTGATTCATCTCTATCAGAATCTGCTGTACTGTGACAAGCAAATTCAAATGAAAGCTGAATTATAACAAGCAAATTCATATGAAAATTTAATTAGGATAAATTTATAAAAGGATCCTGTGATTATATGCTAAACCTAACATTAATATACTGACAGTAACTTTTATGGGCTATATAGTATATGTCAAAGCCCCTCTGGGGTATACATTTTTATCCATTAAAAATGGGACTTGGTGTTCATTTTGAAAATGGAAGAATAGTGTAACGTTAGGAACTCTGTTAATGTGATTTCCTGACCCAGTTAGTTCAACAGAGGAAAAATGCCATATGAACACTTCTGATTAAATGTTCTAATCTCATTGTTTTACAAGTTTTCCCAGCCACTTACTTGTTGAAGAGACTCTCTTTTCTCCATTGTGTGTTCTTGCCTCCTTTATCACAGATTAATAGACTATAGGTGCGTGGTTTTATTTCTGGGCTCTCTATTCTGTTCCACTGATTTGTCTGTTTTTGTGCCAACACCACATTGCTTTGATTAATGTAGCTTTGAAGGACAGTCTAAAGTCTGGGAGAGTTATACGTCCAGCTTTGTTCTTTTTCCTCAGGGTACCTTTGGCAATTCAGGGTCTTTTGTGGTTCCATATAAATTTTAGGGTTATTTGTTTCAGTTCTGTGAAAAATGTCATGAGTATTTTGATAGAAATTGAATGAAATCTGTAGATTGCTTTCAGTGGTGTGGCCACTTCAATAATATTAGTTCTTCCAATCCAAGCCAGCATGGGATATCTTTCCATTTCTTTGAATCATCTTCAATCTCCCTCATCAATGGTTTATAGTTTTCAGAGTGTATGTCTTTCACCTCCCTGGTTAAGTTTATTCCTAGGTATTTAAAATTTTTTGGTGTAATTTTAAACAGGATTTTTTTTCACTTTCTCTTTCTGATATTTCATTCTTAATGTATCAAAATGCAACAGATCGCTATATATTAATCCTGTATTCTGCAACCTTGCTGAGTTCATTTTTTAGTTCTAATTATTTGTTTGTGGAGACATTAGGGTTCTCTATAAAGAGCATCATGTCATCTGCAGTGTTTTATCTCTTCCCTTCCAATTTGGGTACTTTTATTCATTTTTCTTGTTTGATTGCTGTGGCAAGGACTTCCAATACTATGTTAAATAAAAGCAGCTAGAATGAGCATCCTTGTCTCTTTCCTGAATTTAGCAGAAAGTCTTCCAGCTTCTCACCATGGAGTATTTTCTTGCCTGTGGGTTTGTCATAAATGGCCTTTATCATGTTCCCTCTATACCCACTCTGATGAGAGTTTTTACCATGAATGGATGTTGAATTTTGTTAAATGTTTTTTCTGCATCTATTGAGATACTGTGATTTTTATCTTTCCTTTCATTAATGTGTGTCACACTGACTGATTTGCATACAATGAACCACCCTTGTGACACTGGAATAAATCCAACTTGATCATGGTGTATTTGCTTTATATATTTAGGTGCTCCTGTGCTGGCTGCGTGTATGTTAATGACCATAATATCCTCTTCTTATAGTGATCCCTTTATCATTACATAATGTTATTCTTTGTCATTCATTATGACCTTTAAAGTTTATTTTTTCTCATATGAGTACTGCAGCCTTTGCTTTCTTGTCATTTCTGTTTAAATGAAATCTTTCTGTATCCCTTCTCTTTCACTCTGTGTGTCACCCTGAAGGGAGTCTCCTGTGGGCAGTGTATTGAAGGGTCTTGTTCTTTAATACAATCAGCCACCCTGTGTTGTTTGATCAAAACATTTAGTCCATTGATAGATAAAGTAATTAATTTTTGTTTTTGTTTTCTTTGGGGGTGGGGGGATTAGGCCTGCTTATTTATTTATTTACTTATTTATTATTTAAACAGAGGTACTGGGTATTGAACATGGGGGGGGGGGAATTAGGTTTATTTGTTTGTTTATTATTTAAACGGAGGCACTGGGCACTGAACCCAGGACCTCATGCATGCTAAGCATGTGCTCTGTAACTGAGCTATACCTCCCCCTGAGTAGTAATTATTGATATGTATGCACTTACTGCTATTTTACTATCTGTTTATCACTTGTTTTCAGGTTGTTTTGGTAGTGCTTCTACATTTACTTCACCTTCTTGTTTCTTCCATTGTAAGACTGCACTATTTAATCACAGAGGCTTTACACTGCATGAGACGCCACACTTAACGTCTGGTAGGGCCAGTTCACGTCAAAGTTTTCTTTTCCAGTGTTTTCCTGGTTATCCTTACACTTTATTTTTCCACATGAACTTCTTTATCAACTTGTCTAATTTCATGAAACAGCTGCTGGTATTTTTATTGGAATTACAGGGAAGATATAAATTAATTTAGGGAAGAAGTGACATCTATATCATTTTGACTCACAGAATTTAAGAATAAGGGGTATCTTTCAGTTTTTTCAAGTCTACCTCTCTGTCTTTGACATGTTTAAAAATTTTCCTCTTATAAGGTTTCACACATTTCTTGTTAAATTTATTCCCAAGTATTTAATTTTTTTTGTTGCTACCATAAGTGAGGTTTGCCCTAATCATATAGTCCCTCTTTATTATTTGTACATATGAAGGCTGACATTTGTATGTTAATTTTATATCCTGCCACTTTATTGAATTATTTTACTGTTTGAGTTAGTTTTAACACTGACTGTAGAGTTTTCCATATAAAGTACTATCATGTAATCTCCAAAATGAGACAGTTTTCCTTCAGGCTTACCCATTCTCATTGATTCCTACAGTTTAACTGCATGGGCTAATGCCTCTAATATAGTGTTAAACAGCAGTCAGAAATGGTGGGTGTCCCTGCCTTATTGATGATCTTAATACAAATGCCTCTAATAAGACTCCATAAAATAAGATACTGGCTTTACGACTAGGGTATATACATTCCTGATAATATCCTTAATAAAAGAATAATAAGTAAATACTTTTCTTAGCATCATAAAATGCATACATCATGCCAAAAAGCAGCATCGTGCTTAATTGTGACAACTTAGAGAACTGCCATCAAAGACTATAAGAAGTCAAGGATCCCCAATATTATTTAACATTTTTCTAAAATAAACCATTTAAGGATCCAATCCACTGAAGGAAATAGGAGATAATAGTATTAGAAAGAAGATATAATCAGATGCTTGGAGTACCCAAAAGAACAAAAGAAAACTCTTATAAACTAGGAAAGAATTCAGTAAGCTGCTATGCAAACATTACTTAAAATGCACACTGGCCTTTACTAGGCCTGCCGTACACCTGGATACTGCCTAGGTGAGACCTGATCTACTCTACAGAAAACTGATTCAGAAACTTGTTTTCCTGTGTATACTGAAAAGTAATCAGATCTGTAAGATTAAGATCATGACTTACTAAATTCAAAGAAGGTCACTGATAAATCATAATAATTTCCTAATTTTCAGAGAAAATGTTAATGTCAAAAATGTACATACTTATTAATATTAAATTTTGTTGTGTATTATTGTGTAGCCCCAGATGAACTGACAGATAATTGTCCTCCACTAGTAAGAACAGCCTAATAGGTACGTATAGACTAAAGCTACTATCAACAAGGCACGAAGATCTGACGTAGCATGTTCTGATGGCTGATAATTCCTCTAACAGAATTTAGGGCAGTGAGTCTGCTTTGAATAATCTTTAGTTATGGAAATGACTCTTTTCTTAACAACTATTTAAAAAAAAACAAAAACAGTTCACACTTAATGTATATTAAATTAGAACCCAGAACTTGGTGATTTTTTGGTTTACTGTTTCTTCCATTACAACATACTTCATTTTAACACATCATTTCTCTTTGGAAACAGAAACTGTAAATTAACAAATACGTAACAAATATTATGTATATATAGTATAGTGGCCTTAGATCAGTGAGGTATATAATACAGTCATGCACCTGCATTAACCCTTAAATTCCCAACGTTATAGTTAATTCTACAGTTCTCATTTACTGTCTTCTCTGCACCAAATTTTGCTGTACTAACTATATAGGGGTCACTGATTAATATTAATCTATGGTCTTAAAAGTTAGGAAAATGATAATCTTTGAAGAAAAAGATGGTAACGATGCTTTGGAAGGGGTATTTAGAGTTTCCTATTTGCTGGTAATTCTTGTTCTAGTGATTTCACAGGTATGTTCACTTTGTGATAATTCACTTATTATAATATACTTGAGATTTCTGTGCACTTTTCTGTATATATGTTGACCACCAATCAAAACAGTTGATTAAAAATAAAAGCATAAAATCAAAACAAAATTAAAACAAACCATACAAACAGACCTCTTATGTCCTCAATAAAGTACAGTTTCTTTGCAAGCATACTACATTGCACTCGTGGATTTTG